CTGTCTTCTTAAAAACAGCTATGGAACAAACAGCACAACTATCAGTGTATTAGGCCACATTCTGTGTTCATTCTATATTCTGTATTCACCATTGGCTGCAAATTGTATTTTTTTGTTTTTTTGTTTGTTTTTTTTTTTAGAAAAGGTTTTATTTTTTGTTTTCTTTTTTAGATTGTAGTTTTTTTTTTTTTTTTTTTAATTTCTTTCTGTAAGACCCTTTTTATCCTTTCCTAAGGATTTTATGCGTCTAATAAAAATATAAAAAATATATATACATACATGTTAGTCGTGTCTGAGCGCAAACCTATTATTCAACATCATCGGAAGGTACTGACATGTTTTACGGAGTTTCACTGAGAGAATATTAAACCGGTACTAACAGTATGACATTTCACAGCCCTGTGTAAATGTTCCGGCCGCTAAAAACTGTAGGGTAGCGTACACATGGCTAGGCATATATTTCAACGAGTACCGTTCGCTTCACCTGAGCGTGGGTGGTCTGTGCCTGGAGTTTTTTTTTAGCTTCATGGTCTGTGCGAAGCACACGAAATCCTAATGCGGTCAATCATGTGGGTGGGTAAACACAACAATATTATTCAACATCATCGGTAGGTACTGACATTGTTTCCTTGGCCCCGTGAATCCTAAAAACCGATCGAAACGCGACTCGATGTTGTCAACTTGTCGTTTTCAAATTAAACATTTTGAAGAAAAAATCAAAGTCAGCTTGGACATTCAGTTGTGAGACATCACAAAATAAACGGTGCCAGCGATAGATTTCGCGAACGAAAGAACAAAATAAACGCAATCAAAGGCGCCGACCACGCGCGTTGGAAATAAATAGTACGCGTTGCGACGAGAAATCTCACCTGCATCTTTCACTCACGCAAACGCACACACATGCTATTTCCGTATATTGAATACGTTGACAACGGAAAGGACAAGTTTAAATCATCTTTGCATTAACACAACTTGAAAGCAACAGTCTCACACTGAATATATGTTTATCAATTATCAAACTAAACATTCAATGAAGCGGACTACGACTACGAAAAAACAAGGCTAAGACGAAAAATGAATTGAATATCCATCTTTTGAAAAATCAGCTAAACAGTTT